TCACAGTTCTGGAGGCTGGAAGTCCAGGCTCAGGGTGCCAGCGTGGTTGGGTCCTGGTGAGGGCTCTCTTCCTGGCTTGCAGGTGGCCACCTTCCTGCTGAGTCCTCACAAGGAAGAGGGCAGGGGGAGGGGTCTTTTAGGTGTCTCTTCTTATAAGGGTTCCACTCCCATCATGAGGGCCCCACCCTTATGACCTCGTCTAACCCTGAAGTCCTCATCTCCAAATACCATCACTTTGGGGCTTAGGTCTTCAACATATGGATTTGATAGGGGTATACATGTCAGTCCACAGTAATGTGCATTCTAGAAAATTTGAAAATACAAATAAGGGGAAAGAAAAAGAAAAACTAGCATGTACTTGTATTACCAAACTACAGTCATTGTTAACATTTTGATTTATTTTATTTTCGAAGTGTTGTTATTTTCAACTTTTACATAGTTGTAGTCATTCCGAACCTATACTTTGGTATCATGATCTTTTTTATTTAATATTACAACATGAAATTTTTTCTGTTCCTAAAAACTATCCTTCAGAATGCTTTTTTAATAGCCAAAAAAGGCTCATTGAGTGACTGTGCTATAGTTTATTTATTAGTTATCCTGTGGTTAAATGTTGAGATCCTCCCTGCTATTTTGCCAGTTTAAATAGTGCTGTGATAAACATATTTGAACATGATGCTTTTTCTGTAGCTTAGATTCTTGGGATAGAATTCCAGAAAATGGAAATTTTAGGTTAAAAGGATATGCTCTTAACACATGTTGCCAAATCTCTTTCCAAAATGATGTCCCAGTTTACCTTGCCACCAGCGGTGGGGCAGGAAAGCGCCGTGTCTGTGGCTCTCACAGAGGAGGAGGTCGTGTCCGCTAATGTGTCACTTGGCTTGTTTCCAGGAGGACGGCCAAGGCAGCTGAAGCCGACTGCTGGTCGTGCAGAATTCCCCCGGCTCTTCTGGCCCTGAGTCCTACCACTCCCTCCACCCAGCAGCCTGTGTCCTGGGCCTCACCAAGCCACGTCTGAGTAGGAGCAAGCCATCTCCACCTACAGCCATGAATTTCCTCCGGCGGCGTCTCTCCGACAGCAGCTTCGTGACCAATCTGCCCAACGGCTACATGACGGACCTGCAGCGCCCAGATAGCTCCACCAGCTCCCCGGCTTCCCCAGCCATGGAGAGGAGGCACCCCCAGCCCCTGGCCGCCTCCTTCTCCTCTCCAGGATCCAGCCTGTTTAGTTCCCTCTCCAGTGCCATGAAGCAGACCCCGCAGGCTCCCGCGGGGCTGGTGGAACCTCTGGGTCCCTCCACGCCTGTGGTTCAAAGACCCAGGATCCTGTTGGTGATCGACGATGCACACACAGACTGGTAAGCAGGAGTCCACAAGCACTGCCACCTTCTGGGGCAACAATCTCACCTCTTGGGCGAGAAGAGGGAGGCAGCTATGAGAGGCTCAGGTGGTGTCAAACAGTGGCCAGAGAGAAGGACATTGGCAGGTACCAAGTGGCCACTGCCTGCCAGGCCCCACAGCACCTGCTCTGTGCCACGTTCTCTTCTAAGGGCTTTGCTTTTGCAGGTCCACCGTCCCTCACTTGCAAATCAAAAATTCAGAACATTTTGGAAATTAGAAATGTTTTGTGATCTTTTGGGGGAAACTTCCCCTTTCCTCCAAAAGTTTGCTGAAAGATCAACTCACAATTAAGGCAGATTAATACCATGTGCATGGGGAGAATCACAGAGTGATTACCCAATATCCCAATGGGGTCCAGGAATTTCTATTCCCTTCTTTTAGAGGGGAAGGGAAGTTGAGTAATACAGGGAATTCCATTTAGGGGCAATAAATGGTTGCTAGGGAGGATGAATGCATGGGGGAAACAGATTGACTTGTAAATTAACCTGAGAGACAGTTATTATGTTTAAAATGATTTAGGCCAGGTCTGGTTGCATTCTTGATTTTCCTTCCTGCAATATAGTGAGATAACAGGGAAGGGAAGGGAAATCAATTGTTCTTTTGATGGGTCTGTCTGGTAGATAGAGGGAAAGCCCCTTCCAAGGGCCTGTTGATCTCTAAGGGACTTTAACTCAAAATACTCTTTATACCAAGGAGTCATATTTTGGGGTGAAATTTCCTGAGCTCCTTCAGCAGCAATGCCTGATCCAAAGGGAAGTTAGGGTCTAATAGCCTGAATTATACCACTTAGTGTGCCTGTTCATATGATTTGCTGAAACCATCACGATGTGTTTGATATGGGGTGTGGCTCAGAGACCACTGGAAGTACAATATAAAATACGGTATATACACCATGTTACCTTTCCAAAAAAATGAGAAAGGTCTTAAATCTGAAATACATCTGGCAAGACTTGCCAGATTAACCTGTTTCAGCCTCAGCCACCCTCCCTCCATAAAGTGAGGCTGTTATGAGGGTAAAAGAAACCCATACATGCCTCCAGGCCTTATCCCAAGCCCTTGGGATGGGAGTGCCTGAGTTTGTATCCCAGCTCTTCTACCTACTGTCGGTCTGGCTCCACAGCCTGTTCTCTGAACACCAAAGGTAAGCAGAAATGACCTACTTTCCAGCCCTTCTCAGGCGGTGCCCCCTAGATGGTGAGCTGTTGGGGATAAAGGCCTGATGCTTATGTCAAGATCATTGCAGCAGTCATACACCAAGTGGTTACTGAGATCCATTCAGTGCAAGGCACAGTTTAAATGCTCAGGTATAGAAGTGAACAGGTCCCTGCATTCATGCAGTTGCAGAATAGGTCTCTACCGCAACTTTTTGGTACTGAGAGGTGATAAATATTGTCATGGCAGCTGGAGACATGGAATTTGCAGTTCAGGGAGTTAGCTCAAATGTGGAGACAGGGAAGCACCACATCCAGGGCAGAGGAGTACATGGATGGGAAGCAGAGCAGTCCGACAGAGGGCGGCCTTTGGGAATGGAAAACAAGGTTGCATATGCCTGTCTCCAAAGGTGGCCACATATAGGCGCCCGGTAACTATGTATTAACTGAATAAATGAATGCATCCAGGTCACTAAGCGTGCCAGGTACTCTGTTATTCCAACATGCGTGTAAACACTCACATCCTTTCCTTGAGAAGTTAACTCAGGTTGAGAATGATTACGCCTATACTCTGGAGTGGGAGCTATTTATAGTTTATCATGAGTGTTCAATATCCCGTCACCATGAACGTATGTTCAGCAGAGTCAGACATCAGTCTTCACTTTCCTGCTCAGGAATCGCCTCTCAACCAGAGTGGCCACGTGAATCACCTCTGTTCTGATCCAGTCTCATTTGTCTTCCGTGTCTCGTCTTGCTTGAAGGCACTTACCATGAAGCCTGTTTATCTCCGCTTATGTGTTGATGTAAAGCTGCACATTTAGCTTCTGAGCTTAGGGGTGGATGTCTGCCAAGGTGTTGCTTCTAGGTCCTCTTCCTTGTATGGTGCCACCGCCTGTCTGCCTGGCAGTCAGAATGGCTACATGGCCCTTGAAGTCTTCAATCTCTATTCAGCCTAATATTTGACCTTGATTTTGAGTGTTATCCTTGCTGGCTGTGTTGTCCCTGGCTCAGCTATTTTTCAGGAAAGTTGCTTCAGGTAGGGAGGTTGAACTTAATAAACGGCAGTAGGGTGCCGTGGTTAAGAATATAGACATCAGAGCTAGGGTATATGGCTTCAAATCCCATCTCCACCCTGAAAAAGTATGTGACCTTTGCAAGTTACTGCACCTAAATGAGAATAATAATAGTTCCTACCTCATAGAGTTAATATATGTAAGTAGGGTTAACATCTGAGTTAGTATACGAGTGCATAGGATGTGCCCGGTGGACGGTAAGTGCTATTGAAGTGTGTATTACTATTGCAGACTATCGTGACCCTTCCCGTGCGACGTTAATCGTCTGGACAGCAGCCCTTGCTAGGCATTCCTGTTTCATATCTTCATGCCAAATATCGGGAAGCCTGGGTTAGGATTTATCCTACTGTGCTATTTATTTATCCCATTGGTCTATTGGTCATTTTTGCCCATAGCTCCTGGGTGATAAAGTTGGGTCTTATTAATCTCTGTCCCCCACCCTCTGTGTGGTGTGCAGGAGTGTAGGGTCACAATCAATGAGGCTGAAGTGCCATGAATGGCCTCAGTGAAGCCACGTTTAAATTTTGACTTTGTATTCAATCTTTCCAACCCACAGGGAGGACCGCTGTGTGAGTTTCAGGCTGTACGCACTGGTGGGGGACATAACTTTGGCCAGAGAAGTTTCTCCCGGTGTGTTTCAACCGCATGTCCTACGCCCACACTTTAGTTAGGATTTGAGAACAACAATCTTTGGTTTGTGGTGGTGTTCTTGCCCCTCTGTGGGTGAAAAAGGGGAGACGTAGGAAACTGAGACTGGTTAACTCACCGGAAGGTGGCCCTGCCTTCCTCGATTGTTTGTGACGGAGGCTTCCCACCACTGACAGGTCAGCTTCTCACACCGAACCTTGACCCAGATTCTTCCCCGACTTCCTAACCTGACTGAATCTCAGTATGTCCCCAGATTCCTCTAAGTCAATCCTGGCTGCCTTAGAATCTCAATCCTGCCCTGAAGCATTGCTGACGATGCCTGTCTCCCGCCACCAGGAGCGGCCAGCAGGTGGCGGGCCAGCCCCGCGGTCCCTGGGCGGCTTTGGCAGAGCCTGGGGCTGCCTTGGGTCAGCCCCTGCCCCAGCCCCTCCTTCATTGTGCCAACTGTCTCCAGAGGGGAAGAAGTTGTTGAGGGGGTGAGGCCAGCTCTCACAGTCCCTTTCTTCCCCCTTTGAGGTGATAATGAGGGAGGAGAGGATCCACAGTCTGGACTGAGAGTGAACCCACCCCCGCCCCACAGGGACAGTGGGGCTCCCTTTTCTACACATCTCTGTCTTCCCATTCCTGGTCCAGGGCCTTCCTGTGGAATCAGGTTTCCCTGTGCGCAGGCGAGAGGATTGCAGGATAACATTCTTCCCTTCCTGGTGAGTCCAGCTTGCAGACTCTGAACCAGCCTGGCCCCACCAAGGACAATCTGATACCTGGCCAGTGACCTAGGGGGAAGGACCTTTTGTCTTTTGTGGATAAATAAGAGGGTCCCAAAGCCATCTTTGTTGGGGGGACTCATGGCCAAGCATTCTATGGAGGATACCAACTTCTGCTGAGGTTGCCCTGGTTGGTGGGGCTGGCCCCAGTGAGGGTGTTTGGGAGCTTTGGGCCAGCCCCTGTGAAGGCCTGGCACAGTAGTAGGTCTGAACTAAAGTTGATGCTGTCCTCTGGGATGGGGGAGAGGGGATTTCTGGGAACACAAGGGAAAGGAGAAATAAAAGTAATGGATTCTAGCTCAGTTTTTTTTGGCCTTCCTGCCTCTCCACTGGTTCTCTTGCCTAGAATTTTCCAGCAGCTTCACTGCTCTGAGGCCTCCTATCTTGACTTCACCTCCTTCCATGTCACCACCAAAGCGTCATCTTTCTGAAACACAAATCTGAACCATGCAACTTTGCTCCTCCCTCCCCCACCATGCATCTCTTTTCATAATTCTGTGGTGCATCATCGCTCTCAAAGTCAAAGTCAAGGATGTCTGCCCTCCCTCTAGCTCTGTCTTCAGCTCTGCTTTCTACTTTGCTGTTTTTTCTGCAGAAATAGCAAACGGCTTATAGTTCTCAAAGACGCCCTTTTGCCTTAGCATAGTCTGTTCCCTGCTACATGGAATACCCTTCCTTATCTTGCTCATCTGACCAATTTCTGTCCATCCTTAAAAGCTTGCTCAGGTGTCCCCTCTTCTGTGAAGGCTTCCCTGATACACCCACCTTGTCAACCGTGCTAATAACGACCTCACTTGTGTAACCTAAAACACACTTCATGGTGCCATGGGGGCGTATCCCACACTGTATGGTAATTGTCTCTTCTGCAAGAACAAAGCCTGTCTCATTCCTCTTTGTATCCCTGGTGCTGCACACACGGCACGTGTTCAGTTAGCATGTGACATCCCCGCCCAGTCCAATCAGGAGAACATAACGGGCCTAATGGGCTCTGAAACTCACCTTACCTTAGGGGCCAGCAATGTAAAACACAGTTAAAAAGTTTCTGTTTTTGTTCACCTATGTATAAAATCTTGGCTCTTTATATACCAAGATGCTAGTTACTGTAAGGCTGATGCATGAAACTACTTTTGAAAAAAGGAACGACCTGCCTATGAATGTACCAGACCCCAGGTTTGATTTTCAAAATCAAAACATTTAACGTGACCAGGTGTGGTTGGTGTACCTCCCTGCTCTTGGTTTCCCCTGCAAGGTCTCTGGATGCCGGGGAGGAGGGGATGGGGCAGGGGCGGGTGGAGCAGCCAGGCCTTTGTCCCAGCTGCCC